GGCGTGAGCAGAAGGGGGCCCTGAAGGCCTCCTGGAAGCCCCGTCGGAAGTTCTCATTGAAGTAGCCGTAGATGATGGGGTTGGCGCTGCTGTTGAAGAAGGCCAACCAGTGGGCAAAGGGGAAGACATAGACGGCGACCAGGCGGAGCTGGCCCTCGCTCAGCCGCCCGTAGTCCGTCAGCAGCATCAGCGTCCAGAGGGGCAGCCAGGAGAGGCTGAAGAACAGGGCCACGATGATGAGCATGTTGATGACCTTGGCCTTCCTCCGGGAGACCTTCCTCCCCTCCAGCTCCTCTTGGCCATGGGCAGGCGCTGCCGACTTGAAGAGCTTGAAGGCGATACGGGCGTACATGACTACAATGAGGGCGAGGGGAGCCACGTAGATGTGGGAGAAGAGGACGGCGGTGTAGATCCTCCTCATCCCCGTCTCGGGCCAAGCCTCCCAACAGGAGTAGAGGGGATAGGAATTGTTGTAGGTGTCCACCATGAAGTGGTGCTCCTCCCTGGTTACGGTCAGGGTGATGGCGGCGGGGCACATGATGAGCAGGGCCAGCACCCAGATGATGGCAATGGTCACCAGGGCTTTCCTCAGTGTCAGTTTCTGCCGGAAAGGGTGGACGATGCAGCGAAACCTGTGGGAGGGCAGACGGTGGTGACTTTGGGCACCTGATGGGATGTCCCTGGGGAAGGAGGGTGGCTGGGACACGGGGCTGGGAAGGGAGGGTGGATTGCTCTTTACGTATGGCTTTTGGTGGCAGAAATAGGTTGGGATCTCTCCAACTCTGGAGTTTTCATCCCAAGGTGGAGAAGGACACCTTGCCAGGATGTCCCAGGGACAGCCCTGTGGTCCTCCTAGAGAGCTGGGACACGCTCCTGACATCCCCATGAGCTTTCCCATGGTGGAAGCAGCATGGGACACCTGAACACGCTGGGGGTGCCTCGGTCCCCCTGTCCCCACATACCCACGCCAACGTACCTCTCCACGGCGATGGCCACCAGCGTGAAAACGGAGGCGGAGACGGACATGCCCTGCACCAGGCCGCTCATTTTGCACATGGTGTTGTCAAAGGGCCAACCTGCGAGGGGACATCCATCGTGAAGGTTGTAGGCGCCTTTGGCTTGGCTGGTTTCATCAGCTGCTCCCTCTAGATGTCCCCATCCACCCTGTTCTTGGTGGGGGATGCTAAATCCTGCTCCTAAGTGGGGGATGCATTTTTGGCTCAGAGATGGCCTTTAGCAGTACAGATGCTTGGAGAAAACCCCCAAAATTGGTAAAAGAGATGCATATTACCCTTCTTAGAAACTCAAGGAACACGGTGGTTGTCATTTCTACTACCCTTACGTAGGGCTTGAGCTGTTGTCACGGGGACCGTCCTTGGGATCCTCAATCAGAAGGGCTTTCATCTTCTTTCTTGACCTCAATGCTAAGGTGTTGGCAGTAACTATGTGAAACCCATGATCAATAAATACAGACTCTGCCCCATGCCCTGGCTACCGCTGTAGATAAACTCTGCCAATGGTGCCAGTGTCGGCTTTTATCTTTGGAGAGCAGAGCTGAGCCAGCACAGGAGAACATCCATGCAAGAAGAGAAGGACATTTTTCAGTGGTGCTTGATGAAGAACGGCTGAACTTTAAACAAACACATAAATGCAGTGATAAGGTCATTGTCATTTTGCCAAAAATGTCCGAAACCTCAGAAAAAGAAGGACTTTTTCCTCCTAAAATAAAGGCTCTAAATGAAACGATACCTTTCACCAGATGTTGTTGGGTGGCCACCACCTGCCCTCCTCATCCTCAACAAATAATCACCCAGGGGGTAGCCTCACGTGTGGTGGGGGCAGAAGGTGGGTGATGTCCCCCACCACTTTCTCTCCCCACCCTCGCGTCTCGCCCCTCCGCTGCCCCGCTCACCCGTGATGAGGTTGTCCACCAAGGTGGTGGGCATGCAGAAGATGCCCACCAGCAGGTCGCTGATGGCCAGGTTGAGGATGAACATGTTGGTGACCGTCCGCATCTGGCGGTTCTTCACCACGATAAAGCACACCAGGATGTTGCCGATCATGCACATGAGGAAGATGAAGGTGTAGGCCAGGATGAACATGGCGGCCACGGGGCAGGAGTGCTGGTAGTAGGCCAAGAAGGTGTAGTTCTCCCTCAGGAGGTGGCTCTCGCTTGCGGTTGAGTTGGGCCAGCTGCCGTTGGGAGGGCCTGAGAAGGGAAAGCAGGAAAATGAAGCTGAGAGAGGATAAAAGGAATTAAGGGAATAAATCGTTAATGCCCTCAGAGGTGGGTTTTCATATTTATACCAGCGCCCAGCCTGGCTGGGACGTGTCCTGCCGGGATCATCTCAGTGCCCCAAAAAGTCTCCTCCTCCTTGGGTTACACGTCCCAAGGAGCCGCAGCACCTCGGCTGAATTATTATTTTATATCATTATTATTCCTATCACTATTTTGATGAGGAATTAAAGCAGTCCATCCTCTTCTCATGGGATTTTTTTTAGGGATGATTGAAGGAAGAAAAACCCGGGTCCTGACACTGTAACGCTCCAGCCATGCAGGAGCCATACCTGTGTGATCCCTGACACGGTGGCCTGGGATCATCCCTGCTCCTGGCTATCTTCTGCCGTTTCTCCTTGTGCTTCTGATCCACTAAAATAATCTTCTCCCTGGCAAAGCTGCAGTGCCTGAGGGAGATGAGCTGGGGAAGAGGAGACCCTGCGCAGCCCTTACATATGAAGCGATAATTATACGTCATGATCTGGGACCGTGAGAGCTTCTGATGGAGGGGGGGTGGCATTTTCTCACTGCAGATGTAACAGAGGAGCGGGTCCGTGCAGCACCCACCCTCGGGTTTCCCCAGCTTTTACGCAGGCAGGGACGCAGGAGGATGCTGGGGGGCAGGCGGGAGCTGCCTGCAGTGATGACGGGACTTACTCCAGGCAAACCCAGGTTGCAATTTTAAGGCAGAAAAAGGCGTATTTTTTGCTATAAGGCTCAGCCTAGCCACCCGCAGGTCAGCCTGGCTCTGCGAAAGCACTGCAAAGCCGCTGCATGGTGGGCGGCTGTATCATCCCCCCATATCCCCGTGCCAAGCGCTCAGCTCGCCAGCCAAGATGCTTTTCCCAGCCTCCGGGACCACCAGCTTCCCCTAGACGCTGGCATGCAGGGAGGCCCTGCCTGGCCTCTATACCCCTGTCCTGGGCACAGGATTCGACCAACGTGTTGCCAGTGGGGCTTCAGAGAGGTGCCATAGGGGTTTGCAGCACAGGCACGGGAGAAGGAGCCTCCAAGAGAGGCAAGGAAGAGTCAGGGCTGCTGGAGCAAGATGCTCTGGCTGGTCGGTATCAGGTGCACCCACACGAACTGGCTCCGTTAGCAGAAGCGATAGCAAAGACTGTAATGAGATTGCCCAAAACCTGCAATATTATGCCTAAAACTTTGCTGGACTTCACCTCTCCGGGCTGCAACGCCTTGCAGCATTAGCGGGCAGTGGGTGTCCGGTGGGTGAGGACTCACAGGCAGTTTCAAAAGCCAGGTGGAAGATGAGGAAAGGAAAATAAGGGTCTGCCAAGCGCCTGGCTTGGTGCCGGATGGATGGATGGGTGGATGGAGTCCTCCATCCATCTCGGACACGGTGAGAAGGGACCAGTGGGGGACCGGGCAGTGGGGGCCACCTCCCCGCTTGGCCGTGGGAAAGGCTGGGCTGATGGAACAGGGTTGGGGGGCAGGGGGAGCTGGACACGTCTTTTGAGGATAAAATAAAATAAATCAGGTGTCGGTACTCACCTCCGCCGGCTGAGCCCGGCTCCGGGGGCTGCATCGCTGGCATATGGGATGGAAGAGGCTGTCTGCCGCCGGGGAGTGTGTCCCCGTCCCTCTCCCAGTCCCCCCCACCCGGGGCTGAGCCCCGGTGTCGGTC